TACAATCATTGTAACATTCTTTATGGTCATGTGATGAGATATTGGGTGCTTGGCAACCAGTGTGTATTTACAATGGTTGCAGTTTTTCTGGAGTCTTGTGATCACTATTTGCGACCTCCTCAGTCTGCCTGGGACAAGCAAAGTTAATGGAGGAAGCTATTTTCGCTTAATAACTTAATGATTCACTTAACTGCAGTGATTTGCTTAATAACCAAAAAAGGTTATAAAATTGGGTGCAACTCACATAACAGCCCCGTTGCTAACAGCAGAAATTGTGTCCTAATTGTCATAAGTTGAAGATTACCTCTACATAGTCCATTAATGGAGTGGGCTGTGCATTGTAAATTCAGCAAAGCAAAGCACTGGTTGTGGTCATCCACAGATGGCGATAGGACAAATCACAAAATATGCAAGATAATTTTATCCCCAAAATCATTTCTGTTCTGATGCAACAATATAAAGGCAACATTTGTGTAACAAAGACACTTAAGTATGTGTTATCATTTTGTTATAATTATGATTTGCTGCAGACCCTGTTAAAGGTAAAGGTTCCCTCACACATCTGTGCTAATTGTTCCCGACTCTAGGGGTGGTGGTGCACTCATTTCCGTTTCAAAGCCAAAGAGCCAGCATTGTCTGAAGACATATCCGTGGTGATGTGGCCAGCATGACTACATGCTGAAGTTGCATGGAATGCTATTATCTTCCCACCAAAAGTGGTCCCCTATTTTTTCTACTTGCATTTTTACATGCTTTCGAACTGCTAAGTTGGCAGAAGCTGGGACAAGTAACGGGAGCTCACTCCATTACATGGCACTAGGGATTCAAACGACCAAACTGCTGACCTTTCTGATTGACAAGGTCAGCATCTTAGCCACTGAGCCATCACATCCTTTGCAAACCCTGTTAGCACTAGTTATTTCAAAGCAATTACAAAGTTGATCACTGTACTTCTTAGTAGTTAGATAAAATGCACATAACAATCTACAAGTTGCAGCTGCTCATTTAGTGACCATTCAAAGATACAGTGGCACTGAATAAGGGGCACTTATGACTGGTCCACAAATTTGTGATTATTGTAGAGCCCCCACAGTAATGTGGTCATGATCCAGGCGCTTGATGCCCAGTTTGCAATGACATTTCAGTTAGCCACAATTATGCAATGGTTATTTTCAATGCTCTCTGCTGGCTTCTTGGAAGCAAAGCCAATGGAGAAGCCAGTGGGAAGTTTTGAGTTGCTTTCACTTCCTTTACTTTTCCATTTGCCCATGTTCCTTAGCACTTGCCTGCAGCATCTCTGCATATCCCTCACTCTTAAGTGCCTGCCTACACCTGCTCACTTGCACACCTGCATGTGTCCTGGAACCTGTCCATAATGGTCCATAGTACTTCAACCCATCAGCTTCCTCGTCTTGGATTCCTGCCTTCTCATGCTTAATAGCCCTTATAGTCCTGGGGTTAAACCTCAACCAAGACTGTGAGCTTGTGCATTGCTAAGCAATGCAGTTATATGACATGTTTTACAACTACATTGCTTGCCTACGGAAATTCCGGTCACAATTATTGTAACATAAGGATTGCTTCTATGCTGTCATTTCCTCTAATGGGGTATGTGAACTACCTTGGGGAAGGAAGAGAAGAGATGCTGCCTAAGAAACACAAGAGTGGCAGGAACCCTCAGTGGCATAATGGTCAAAGAAAGAAACTTAGGAAGAATACCTTCTAATAGATCAAGAAGTTAAAAATGGCAGTGGGAAGTTTGTGCCTGTTAGCTAAATTTTAGAAATGTGTTCTAGTGGTCTGCACTGTCCCTCACTTCCACCCCTGGGGGCAGGATATCTCTCTGCCTCAATTGACTTCTGGTTCACTAGTTTGATATATTGAAAATGGGATTCTCCATTAATTATTTGATATAATCATCAGATAATTCACTCTACAAGCCACAAGTGCAGCCCTTTTGACTCATTTAATAAAATACTCCATTCCAATGTTTGAGAATAGTTTGAAAGAGTAGATTTGCAAAAATCTAAGTTTCATCTGACTCTTCTTTTGTGGCAAGATTCCAAAAAGTTTACTATAGTCCTCACTTAATGTCAGTTCACTTCAACAGTTAAAATTATGGCACTGAATGAATGGACATGACCTATGCCTGAACCCTAAGGTCATTGTAATGCCCCTGCAGTCATGTGATTGTGATTTGTTTGGCATCTGGCATCTTATGATCAGTTGCCAAATGCCTTGCAATTGTCATGTGCAATCTTCCCTGCTGGCTTCTGCTGAAAACTAAGGAGAAAGCCATTAGGGAAGGTTTCAAACCACAGCTGCCCGTCCAGAGGAGTCCCTGTGGTTCATGAAGGCTGGCTGCAAAAGGTTGTCATGAAATCCAAGCAGGAAGTCTTACTTGGATGATGGGAGTGGCTTTTCTCCCCAGCCTCTTTGAGAGCAAAAATACTGCTTGGTTCTGTGCAAGGTGAAATCAAGCTGCAAAGCAGCACTTTCACTTTCAAAGGGGCTGGGTGAAAAACTCACTTTGTGAGGCACTTTTTATTACCTGTAAACTGTTAAGACCAGGGCCAGATGGAAGAGGACGAGGTATTTCGCTTCAAAAACATCCTTTAAATAAACTCATTCTATTAACACAATAAAAAGCCGATTCTATTAAAATTCGTTTTTCCAATCAACATACAGAGGTAACTCTGGCTTTATGAAAAACAATCTACAGTTAGGCATTAAAAATGCTCTTAACTTCCTAAGGATTTGCAGCATTTCTTTGAAGCACAGCAGTTCACATAAACAAACTTTCTTTAGTCCTTGATTTAAGATTGTAATGAAATCTGCCCATTACAGTCGTAAGTCAGGACAGTTATGTTATGTGACCAATTGGATTGTATGGCTTTTTTGTGGCGGTTCCTAAGCAAGTCACATTGGAATCTGCAGTGGTTAAGGAAATGCCACTGTCATTAAGTGAATCCATTGTTCACTATGGGTTGTTTTAGCTGAAACCCAGAAATAAGTGCCAGTTTTCAGCAAAAACGTTATGAATCATAGACATGTGACCAGGAGATACTGGAATCAAACCTAAATGTGGCCCAATTGCTGTACTCCCAAAGTACAGTCACATGAATGCGGGAAGGGAAGGTTGGAACTTCAGAACTAATGATGAGTTCTTTTTGGGGAGTCCATTGAAATTTCATATGGATGCTATGCAACCAGTGTAAGTCAAGGACTATCTTTACTTGCTTGCAAATACAGTTCACCAACTCACCTACAAACCATATAGTTAGCCATCTGGATTCTAAGTGCTCAATTAAAAAAAAAAGTTAAAAATCAGCTATAATTTTTATAGCAGACATGCACTTGAAACCAGTCATTTTGTTAACGTTAAGAATTCCAGGAAACATTTTATATAATAGAACTTAAAAGTGTTTAGTTCATGGTGAAAGGCCAATATTCCCACTCTTTCTTATTGGAATTTGCTTTAACGTTCTTAAGAAATACATTAAAAATCTCATTAGCTATTTTTTCTGCAGTTTGCTTGATCAGTGAACCTGGACTGTTAACTAAATTTACTTTAGATCTCTGAGGTAAAAAAACAACAATGAAGAGACTTGTTTAGCAGCTTTTCCATTGTTTCTTATCCCTAAAGTCACAATCCCTGTTAAGCTTTGTATTGGAACAAGGGATGTGCTTCATGTTTCTTGATCCGAACATTTTGAGTGAGGCTGTTTAGTCTTGAGTTTGGAAGAAAAAGTTTTTTGCTTTGTAGACACCATAAACTATCACTTGGAATGATGTTATTTCTCTATGTGCAAATATTCTCTTTAAGAATATTTCTTATTTTCATAAGCAAAATGGGCTGGGTGACTGGTTCACATGCAACAGATGTCTAAATATTAAATAGCATAATAAACAATGTTCTGAAAGAATTATTTGCTTTTAAATTCCATAAACATCATTGTTAAAAATATCTTGAAAAAATTGGCAGGTTGGTAGTGGAAAGGGCAGGGTGTTTACAAATTTTTTAGACAGTTTTATTCTCTTCCTTTGTAAATCAGAAAAAAAATATGAGATCATTATTATTGTCATTTGATTATTTAAATATTTGACAGTTTTAGAGGAATTTAAAATTTCTAGTAATTGATCTATTTAGCTGATTAAAAGCAATATTTTAATATGATGTACTCTTTGAAATCTGTTTATACTAAGATATTGGTTATATTTCAGCAAATACCGGTAATTCTTACCTCTTGATTAATATGCATTTGGGTTTTCCCATATATGAAATATCTTCTCTTTTTTCAGTACATTCTGATAGAGCATTATTGGACTAAAATGGACTATTGGTCCATTTTTTGTGACACAACTTTCATTGGATAATTAATTGTAATAAAATAGTGATCTTGCATAGCTTTTTATAGCTTAAATATTGGAGCCAAAATAAAAAGATACAGATATTTAATCTTGAATTTTATATTTTTGTATCCCAGCTGTTTATTCATTGTGTTAACAGGATCAATTTAGTTTGTGTATTTAAAAAACACCAGTATTGTGTGTGTGTGTGTGTGTGTGTGTGTGTGTGTGTGTCCCCGGCTAAACAATTGTATTATTTTCTATTGGTATGAAATACCATTTTCCCATTCTTAAAAACTAAATGAAATTTGATAAGTGTTCTCTTTTAAACTCTAGAATTATGTTTCATAATGAAATATATAATGCTAGTAGGTAATTGAGAGGTAATTTAAATATTTCATAAATTCAGTTATTGAATCAAACAGTCATAATGCTTGATTCTCTATTTTGTAAATAATCTGAGGTATTAAAATAACCTTTAACATAAAATGGGAGCATAGCAAGAAGAAAACAATATGTTGTAAGTTTCATGGTTTTAATATTCAAGCTGTTTGTGTTATACAGTAGAATGTGTCACCTGACATACGAACAATTTTGTTGGCAAATGTCCTATATTTTGATTAAATAAAAATATATGTTTTATTTTTCAGTGAATGGTAGTGTCTAGAAAGGGTATGTCCCTTCAGGAGAGAGGTGCCAATGTCCAACCGGCCTAATAACAGTCCAGGGGGGTCACTGCGACGTTCACAAAGGAACACTGTAGGGGCCCAATCACAAGACGACGCAGTAGGAGGAAGGTATGCTAATTTCTTCAAAATTTTCAAAAGTCAGCATAATTTATTGTACAAAAGAAGCTATGATACCTTTTAAATATAAACTGGGGCTTAAATGTATTAATTAATGTTGATGTTTTGAATACATTGTTAACAACTAAAATGATAGGAAATTACGTAACTTTCTCTTGAGCATTAACTAAAAGAACTAATTATTGATATTACTATCTGAACTGACTACAGTAACAACAAATATGAAACACATAGAACAATAACTGCAAAGAACAAATTAAATAATGTACTATGTTTTAGGGGAGAAGTATACAAATATATGTCAGGGTTCCAAATAATATACAAAATTAAATCAGATTCCATAATTATTCTCATAATTATGAGTCAATTGCCAAATCATGATTACATGTTTTTCAGCCTGGATCATTATTATGTGATCTTACATACAGATGCTGGGATAACGGCAACTTTGAGGAGCAATCATAGGTTCTCTCATTCATCAGCATCATAACTTTGAGTGATCACTGAATGAGAGATTGCTGAACAAGGACTGCTGTAAAAAACATTTTTGTGTTTTTGTTTTGGGTAGTTTTCAGAATGCTGTATCTGCTTTTTTTGAATCTGTAAGTAGTTAACATTGAAATATTAAGAGGTAATAATCATGTACTGTTTCTGGAGTCTAGAAAATATTACTAATTTCAAAATGAAATTTCCCTATATTTGATACATAGGTAACAAATAAGAAGCTCAGCTCTGTAAATTCGGTGACATTTTGAGTAAATTTATAAACTCATTTCATTTTTGTTGTCACTAGTAAATGTCTAGAATCTATATTTCTTGTCCAAGAATGAGACCCCCCCCCCTAAAATGCACATAAACTCTAAAACACAATTGAAACAGAGCTCTTTTGGGTATGGAACATTTTTGAATTGGTTGGAATAACCAGTTTCAAATTCAGAAACAACTACCTTGACCTCAACATATTTGAGTTCAGAATATACAAATATTTTGTATATTCATATACAATTACACATACCTTCTCAAGTACTCGATATAAGAAGAATGCTAAAAAAAATGCTCCATTGTGAAGGAGAAGTGAGAACTGGAAGGAGGCATGATAGCTGGTAGCCCAAAATGGAGTTACGCAGCATCTGCAGATTTATTGCTGGTTTAATGATGGCTAAAATACTTGACATAGACTGGACATTTATACATTGTTGAAGGGTTTGACGTTTTTCGAAGTGGAGCTGTTAGGGTCTAGAGAAGATTTATTGAAGAAGAGAAGCCATCATGGGACCTTTGGAGGTCTTTGTAGGAGGCTCAAGAGATAAAAGCTTCTTATCAGCTAGAGAAGGGAGCCCGTGCCAGCCTAGGAAAGGATATGTTGGACAATATATTTAGTCTCATAATTATTCTAAAAGAGAAAATAGATATAGTATTTAATTATGGTGTAGTGTATACATTACATACAAGTACATATATATTAAGTCAGTATTATAAAATTCATAAATACCTTGAGAACACTTAGGCTGCATAATATTCAAACACAGGAAAAAACACAATTAACCTGAACTAATTAAGCAAGCAATCAGCTAAGTAGAGAATGGAATATGGCTATCTAGTTGTACATAATTCATCCCAAGAAAGAATATGAACACTGAAAGTAAATATTGTTTTATGCCTGGTTAAAAAGGAAAAACCATATCAGGATTTTCTCACTGAATCTTATATAAAACCTCATGAATCCATTGAATTGGTATGATAATCTCTCCAGAAACTGTGATTTATGGTATGCGTTTTGGGATTTAGTATTCTGCTACTGTCATCTCTGTCTTTTTACGAGTGTATATAATTTCCTTTTGGTAAGCATAGTATATTGAGAGGACAAGGGACCCAAAATTAATATAGCTAGAATCTTCAATTGTTTAATACAGGTAGTCCTTGATTTATAACAGTTTATTTTGTGACTGTTCAAGTAACAATGGCATTGAAAAAAGTGACATGACTATTTTTCACACTTACCACCTTTGTAGCATCCCCATTATCATGTCATCAAAATTCTGATGCCTGGCAGCTAGTTCATAATTATGACCATTGTTGTGTCCCAAGATCATGTGATTACCTTTTGCATCCTTTTGATGAGCAAAATCAATGAGGAAGCTAGATTCAATTAACAACTAACTAACTTGTTACTAACTTGTCAACTGCAATGATTCACTTAACAATTGTGGCAAGAAAGGTCATAAAATGGAGCAAAATTCAACAAATGTTTCGCTTAACAACAAAAAGTTGGGCTTTAATTGTGGTAATAGGTGGAGGACTACCTGTATTCTGCCACTGTTTGGGGTTATATTTTAATGCAAAGAGTAGTTTTTGAACAAAAATTTTATTCATTATTCAGAGATTTTATTGTAGATTTTTTTTTATTTCGCTGTCATTTATATGGCCACTCATCTTACAAAACATGACTGGGCAATTATATTAAGAAACCCTGAATTGATAGCACATTGATATGGAATATGGTCAGTTGTTTATACAACTGTCCAGGTTCACGTGTATGAAATACATGGCTATGTTGAGAAGGTGGTGGCGCTTCAACTCCGACGGTCCTTGGATGAAGCGGATTATCTAGACTCAGTCTGGTTTCAGGCCTGGGTACAGCATGGAAACCACTCTGGTTGCTCTGACTGATGATCTCTGGCGGGCCAGGGATAGAGGACATTCCTCTATCCTGGTGCTTCTTGACCTCTCAGCAGCCTTCGATACCATCAATCATGGTATCCTTCTGTGACGCCTGGAGGAGGTGGGAGTGAGAGGCACCATTTTACGGTGGTTCTCCTCTTACCCCTCTGACAGGTCACAGTTGGTGTTGGTCGGGGGGGCAAAGGTCAACTCCTAGGCCCCTCAAATGTGGTGTGCCACAGGGTTTGGTCTTGTCTCCCCTCCTATTTAACATCTACATGAAGCTGCTGGGTGAGATCATGCGACAGCACAGGATAAAGTACCACCAATACGCAGATGATACACAACTGTATCTTTATGCCCCGTGCCAGCTCAGTATAGCGGTGGACGTGATGTGCCGATGCCTGGAAGCTGTTAGGAACTGGATGGGAGTGAACAAACTTGCACTCAATCCCGATAAGACTGAGTGGCTTTGGATGCTCCCCCCGAAGGACAGCCTAGGTAGTCCATCCTTAACCCTGGGGGGTGAAAATTTACACCCACAGAGTGGGCTCGCAATTTGGGGTTCCTCCTGGATTCGCAGCTGACACTGGAACATCATCTGTTGGCTGTGACCAGGGGGGCCTTTGCCCAGGTTCGCCTGGTGCATCAATTGCGGTCCTATTTGGATCGGAAGGCACTTCAAACGGTTACTCACGCCCTTGTCACCTCAAGCCTGGATTATTGCCACGCACTCTACATGGGGCTACCCTTGAAAAGCGTTTGGAGACTGCAGCTAGTACAGAATGCGGCCGCGCGAGCAATATTGGGTGTACCGAGGTACACCCACGTTACACCTGTCCTCTGCGAGCTGCACTGGCTACTAATTGGTCTCCGGACACAATTCAAGGTGTTGGTTATTACCTTTAAAGCCCTACATGGCTTAGGGCCAGTGTACCTTAGAGACCGCCTACTGCCACATACCTCCCAGCGGCCAGTAAGATCCCACAGATTGGGCCTCCTTCAGATGCTGTCAGCCAGACAATGTCGGCTGGCGGGCCCCCGGAGGAGAGCTTTTTCTGTGGCTGCTCCGACTCTCTGGAATCAGCTACCCCCAGAGATCCGGACCATACCCACCCTCATGGCCTTCAGGAAAGCTGTTAAAACCTGGCTGTTCCGGCAGGCCTGGGGCTGTTGATTTCATGTTGAGGTCCAGTCCCGGTTAGAATGAATGCATGTGGTTTTTTTTTTTAACTCTTTTTTTTCTGTCTTTTTTTCTTATTTTTTTTTCTTTTCTTTTTCTTCCTTGTAAGCCGCCCGGAGTCCTTCGGGATTGGGCAGCATATTAATTTTAATAATAAATAAATAAATAAATATGTACATTGGGTGGATGGGTGGATGGATAGATAATCAGTTGATTAAAAGATAATAGTCATTAAGTGTGAGGATTCACCTTTGTAAGTCACTGCTGAAATGTGTTGTGCTGTTGTAAATTGAAATGGTTGCTAAATGAATGGTTGTAAGTCAACCTGTAAGGCTACCTGTACACAACAGAATTATATCCTGTTTTGTTTAAATTTGGATTATATTTATTTTTTTCCATGAACATTAGATAAAACTCTAAGATTTGTGCTGCAAATGGGAAGGCTTTTTTAACAGCCTCATATGACTCTTTTAATATTTTTTTAAATATCTTAAACTCCAAAATAAATTATTGTGTGAGTGTGATTGATTGATTTATTTGCTGCCCATCTTGTCTAGAGGTGATTCTTTGAGTATTATAAAATAGCATTTTATGCATTCTTTTAAAATGGTCTAATTTAATCACACCAAAATATTTCAAATTTATATCAAAACAGTTCCATTCATGAAGTGCTAGAATAAAATTGGATGAGTAAGAGGACAAGTAAAAATATTTTAAATGGAAAATAATTTTGAAGAATCATTTTAAATGATGTAGGTCAGATGCATATTTGTGCTTTGGCTGACAGAAGACTTTTGAAGGCGAAACAGTCTCAATAACATAAACTCCCAATTTTGGGGAGGAAGTTATTACATTAAGTTCATGATTATTTTTAGTAATTTACTGTAGTAACAGTAAAGAACATAAATCATAAAATAAAGAAGCATATTTGAAACATCTTTATCGCACAACATTGTAAACACATTTAGCATTTGTCAACTTGAGTTGAAGATCTATCAGATCTTTTCTTTTCAAGATTATAAAGATTACTGGTAATTACTGCCATTTTAGCTTCTTACAAAGCAAACTGTGTGATGACTTTTTCTTTTACTTATCTTTTAAGGAAATGAATACTCAGTTATTTACTGTCTTAGGCCACATTCACATATCCACATCCATACCATATTCCTCCCATTCTGAAACTAGCAGGAAATTCTGCCTCAATGCACCTGCAGCATATTCTTACTCTCCAGCTGAAATGGTTCCATTTTGTGCTACTGTTAATGTGGCTTTAATGTACAACAATCTAAGGCCCCACCATTTAAAATTCTTCAATTAGCAAGTATATTGTTTTGGTTGTTCCAGGCATTACAATGTTTTCTTTTTCTTTTTGTTGTACTACCAATTAATTGAATTTTTAGTTATATGTAATTCTGCCCACTATGTAGCAGCAATGAAAAGAGAGTTAAAAATATCTCTTCATTGCTACATGTGGTTACCCGGATTTGTTGATATACCATCTCTTGTTATATTGTTGAAGAGATTATGTTTGAAGAAGTTTAAATGTAGAAATTTATTTGGGAGCTGTAAACTGCCTTGAGAACAGTGTAAGTAGAGGAAATGAGATCATCTCTGGGAGAAGGCGAGAAGAAAGGTTTCCGGGAAGAAAATTCCTTGCCAGGCAGGTTACAGATAGATCTATTTTTTATATAGTTTCCTTATTATTTGCCCTCAAGGTCGTGTCTTGACTATATCTATGGACACCTGACTTGTATATGAAAAGTCTAAAATATAATTAAAGTGAAACAAAATATATTCATTACTTAAAATATACTCTTTTATGTGTTACAGGAAGTTACATGTTTTTAAATCCATGAGTTACCATTATAGTTTTCCTTAAATTAAGCTCATTCACAATCAAATACATCATCTAGTCCAGATACTCGTTTTAACCTATGGGTTTTTTTAATGGCTTGGGGCTCTAGTATCTGAAGGAACATTTCTTTCAAACCATATCCTGAGACCATTTCTGAAGAACTTGTTCAGGTGCTCTGCCACCCTGAGGTGTGTTGGCTATCTGAGCAGGGGCTTTTTTAAAAGTACTATCTTCTCCCCTATTTAGGAGATTTTTTCCCTCAGTGAGGTATGCTAGGTATCTTTTCAGGGTGTGTGTGTGTCAAGTAAATACATTTTTAGCCTTCCTGGCCTTGTAACCATTCAAAGTTACAACAATATCTCTTTCCTGGAAGTGACAATAACACTTCCTATCCCCACCTCTATTTTTCCATTTGCTTTCATTATTTATTTATTTCATTCTTTCGCTAGATTTAATGTAAAGTTACCTATCCGTATTCCATGGGTTTTATGGCTGATCAAATCCTTAAATTGTGTGCTCAAGTTCAAGTAGAATATAATCCGTAGTATCATATTGTCAAATTAAACATCTCAGGGATATTTAACATCAATTACATCATTTCATCTTCATGGTATTATTATAAATGCCCAGAATTGCTTGGTAGAGAAATGGGCTGATTACAAATTTAATAAATAATAAATACATTTGGGATAACCCAGGCTATATTTAAGCAATTTCTTTTTATTCTTACAGCAGATGCTTGCAAATTTCTTCAAAATTAGCTAAGTGTGTATTTTTGTTCAGGTGGAATTCGTTCAATCAAAATCACCATTAATTTAATATAGTTTAAATCTATTGAGGAACAAAACACAAATTTTCAGGATTATTTTTCAAAGTAACTCAGTATAAGTAGTTACCCTATTTTTTGGATTATAAGATGCACCGGAGTATAAGAGGCACACACAAATTTACGAGATAATTTTTTTAAAAAAAAGTTTTTGCCTTCCCAGGCCCCCAAGAGCACTCTGCAGGTCTCCCAAATCCTCTGCATGCCCTGTTTTTTTGAGGAAAATGGGGCATTGCAGAGAGTTTGGGAAACTGCAAAGTGATTCTGAAGGCCGGGGAGGGCAAAAACACGACACATGAGAGGTTTGTGAGGTGAAAAATGGGCCCATCCAGAGCTGCAGCTAAAAAGAAACTCTCACCTGTCACATGGCGAATGTCGTCGACCACCTGGACCCAGAAGTCTCAGCCTCGGGAAAAGGCAGGTTGTTAAAGGCAGGATCCCTAAATTTCTGATGCAGGACAATTTCCACTTGGGTTGGGGGAAAGATTATGTTGTGATTGCAAAACCAGTGTGTATGTTTGTGTGTGTGCGCGGAGAAGGCTGCTACACTGTACTGTGGGCTTTCTGAAACTCTGGATGGGCTTGATCTTCCTAAAGGGTAAGGCTTTTATTGATCTCAAATCCGCTTTTCTCTACCTGCTCCACAGTAGGGCAGGGATAAACAAATCTCTCTGCGCTTTACTTTCCCCCACCCTTCCCTCTGATGGGCGGCAACACGGAGCCGCTTTACCCAAGGAGCAGTAATTGGCTGACTTCTTCTCTTCAGCAAGGAGGGAAAGACTCAGGCAGGCAGCTGAATGGCTGTAGCTGCGCTTGACTGGGAACGGCCCATTGGGCAAGGAGGTGTGGGAATCCCTTCCATTTGGATTAGCGGTTCCTTGTGGCGGTGCCTGAGCAGGGAAAGGGAAGCCCTCCAAAAATGACCCTGCCTTCTTGAACAACTGGGCTTGTTCACAGCCTTCTTCCCAACTCTGCTTCCTTAGTCTCGGCAAAAGCAGGTGCCAGGCTCCAGGGAGACTTCTGATCTGGTGCTCCTGTATTCAGAAGTTTCCTTTCCATCCTGTGCTTCTTCCACTAGCTAAGATCCCGACGATGCCAATAGCTTTTTCTGGAGAGAAAGTAGAGATCTAGTGTCCTGAGAAAAGCCTTCATGGAGAGCAGATCGGCCCTCTTCACTTCCTCCATCCCCCTCTCTCAATCCTCCTGGATCTATCATGCAGCAAAGAGATACGGTAGCCAGGCGCAATAGCAATAAGCACTGCATGACAGATCCTGCTGTGGGAGGGGTAGAGTAAAGCGGATTTGAAATTGATAAAAGCCTTACCCTTTAGGAAGATCGAGCCCCTCTGGAATTTTGGAAAGCCCACAGCCCAGTGTAGCAGCCTCCTCCGCACTCTCCATGCTTTCCAATCACAGCACAATCTCTCCCCCCTTCCCCCTGGAAGTGGAAATCGTCCTGCCTTTTCTCAAGGCTGAGCCTTCCGGGTCCAGATGGTCAAGGACATTCACCATGTGACAGGCGGGAGTTCTCTAGGTCAGGTGGAAGTTCCTTTTTAGCCGCAGCTCCGGACGCCAGCAGGAACTATGTGCAGATCATCCATCTAGAGAAACTGGATGTGTGGGTGGCGTTTCTGGAGGCCAAAAATGGCTGTTTCTACCCTATTTTAAGGGGGAAAAAGATGTGTCTTATAATAAAAAAATACAGTAAATAAAATAGGCAAATATTGAGAATAAAGGAAAGTAGAAGCTTTTGAATAGCTTACCGTTTCTAAAACTTTATTTAATGTAAATTATTGGAACAATGGGAAGAACAGAACATCAAAAGAAAACCTAATATTTTAAACAAAATTTCCAGTTCAGGTGTTCATACCTTATCTAAAGCCTAGCTAGTAGTACTGTTCACTAAACATGCTATGCAACTTAATGAGAAACTGTGTTATAAGTTCAGTGTGTAAATTGCTCCTTATGCATGTTTGTATTTGTGTCCCTGTGTTCTTCATAGCTTTCTGTTTTTAACTTTCTGCTGACAGGTCACATTTAGGGCAGGCAAAACATAAGGCACGTAGCCCTTCTGAAAGTAAAAAATCTATATCAAAGGCACCCAAAGTGCAGTCCAATACTACTACTGAACAGTCCAAAGGACACTTTTCTAAAAGGTAATAGCTTTATATTTATGAATTTACTAATGTAACTTCAATGGAATGTGTCGCAAGCATGCTGACTTATTAAAAATGTCTAAATAACTTTTACCTGATTTGAGTAAACAGAAAAACTTTCAATTTCAGAAATTCAGATTTGAAACGTAAGTACATGTGATGAAAGTTTGACAAGCCTGATATCAGCAGAATGAAAGGTGTCCATTTGAGTGATATAAAACAGTGTACTTGTAAATCTGTTCTAGACTGCAAGAAAGAGAATTGATAAATATTATTTATGGTGGATTGGTGTTTTAATAAACTTGTTTGTAGATGTTGAAAATTAGAGTTTGTTCAGAAATAATTTGGGCAAATTGCTAATTTAGCCTTGTGCAAACGTAGCACTTCTCTGCTATTTGCTAAAGTATGCAAGTCTTTTTTAAAGCTTCCATGGAAGGAAAAAGATGAAACAGCTTTAAGAGTCATATTAAACAGACACTGCTTAATTATTTTTTTCCTTCAAGGAACAACGTATCTTTGTGGTCTTGTGAAATTGCTTGCTGTAATTAATAGAAAAATGATGTGCTCATGCAAAGTCAAAAGCACTCTTTCTGAATCATTTTCAAGATTTATGAAGTCCTGAATTCAGCTGGGCTGTCTGAATCATAACCTGCTTTATTAATTTCAAAAGATGAGTAGGTGATCAGTGTATTTTCCAGAATGGGAGGAGGGAATGGTCACACGTGGGTTTTATCACAACCTGATTGGTCCAAGGCTGAGAGGAAATCTATAAATACCGGTGCCTGTCCATTGCTAGCCCAGATTCTCTCAGCCTGGTCCAAGCTGTAGAGTAGTTGGATAGGTTCTGTTTGTTTTCTCCTTTTGGGTGAGTTCTATTCAGTCTGATTCCTATTTGGCTAATTGGGCACTTTAAATTTAAATTCTAAATTGATCTGCTGCGGCCCCAAGGGACAGATCTCTGCCTCGGGCGGCTGGGGGAGGGCCCAGTGGGGCACTAGTCTCCCCCCCCGCAGGCCAGGAACCTTTGCCCATCCCCGGGTGCGGGGGTGCGGTTCCATTCAAACTGCTTCGTTCAAACTACTTGAAGAGGCTGTTTTTTTGCAGCAGGAAAGTGAAAGAGAAACTTTAAGCCTCGAGGCTCCAGCGAGCAGATCGCTCCGGAGGGGGCCCCTCGCTGCAGGCTTCCTTTGTTTGTGTTGCCGGGGAGACAGAGCAGGGGGGGAGAGCGGCTCTCCCTGCTCATTTTAAAGTGAAGCCGGCTAAAAAAAGCCTGGCTGGGCTGCTGGTGATTATTTCCAGCCCTTTTCTCCC